GTTCACGACAATAGAACTCAATTCGTCGGCCACAATTTTTAGAGATTCTGTAATAAGTTTAGAATTCAAAGTGTCGCATCAACGATATATTATCCGTCAGCTAATGACATTGCAGAAGTTATATCAAGAGCTGGAAGTGTTAGATGATAAGCGACTTCAAGCCCAACAACAGATCAAGTTATACTAAGCTCGAATCTCAAAAACCTACAGCAAAAAGGTCAAAGAAATGATCTTTAAGAAAAGTGACCTTGTCTTTTAGACGACCTATGATCATGACACATAAGATAAAAAGGAAATTCAATCCCAAATGGGAAGGACTTTTCGTGGTAGAGTCGATCTACTTGAACAGAGCTTACCGTCTCATTAATCGAAAAGGCGATAGGCTCATGATGCCAATTAACGGAAAAATTTAAGAAATATTACCCATAAAAATCATGAGACCCACTTTTTCCTCTCTTGCTAAGTCTAAAAAAAATTTGAACTCGCTCAAGACTGAGGGTTGATTATTTGTTATTTCTTGAACAGAATAACAAATTCTCAAACTTGTCAAGTTAACAATACACCTCTGACAATAAAAATCTCCCAATGAGTAATTTGAATTATCATTCTTCTTTGAAAAAAAAGAAAGTCAATACTATCAAGTTAGCAAAACACCTCTGGCAGTATAAACACTTCGACGCGCATCACCACCAAAATCAACTTGTCAATCTTATCTAACAAGATGATAAGATCACAAAAGTGGACATGTTTAACAAAACACCTTTGTCAATTACAAAATTCACAAAACCATCCCTAGCTAGTATATCGTCGAGTTAACATTACACTTCTGACGATTAACATCCCCACGGAGGGTTCGAATTCAGCTTGTCTCATTTTTGATATAACAAGTTTTTCCAAATCAAATCAACTTATCAATCTTTCCTAACAAGATGATAAGTCCACAAAGTTGCTCTAATCGTAACACAATATTATCAAGTTAACAATACACCTCTGATAGTCAAGATTTTTATACATCCCTAACGGATGATCAAACAAAATTAACTTATCAATCATCTTTAATAGGATGATAAGTCTACAAAGTTATTCAAATCACAACACAATCCTTTCACGTTAACATTACACCTCTGAGTCTCTGACAATCAAAATCACAACACAATCCTTTCACGTTAACATTACACCTCTGAGTCTCTGACAATCAACTTGTTAATTCTCTTCAAATAGATTGACAAGTCCACAAAGTTGCTTAAATCGCAATACAATCCTATCAAGTTAACAATATACCACTTGTAGTCAAAATCTCTACATGTCCCTAATGAGTTTGAATCAAGATTCTGAAGTACCAAAAATCATCAAGTTAATATTATACCTCTGATGATAAAATCAACTTATTAATTCTCTTTAATAGAGTGATAAGTCCTCAAAAATCTTGTTCAAACCACAAGTACCAAACAATCATCAAGTTAACATTACATCTCTGATGATAAAATCAACTTATCAACTCTCCTCAATACAGCGATAAGTCATCAAAATCTTGTTCAAATCACAAGTATCAAAACTCATCAAGTTAACATTACACCTTTATGATAAAATCAACTTATCAACTCTTCTCAATAGAGTGATAGTCCTCAAAATCTTGTTCAAATCAAAAGTATCAAATATCATCAAGTTAAAATTACACCTCTGATGGTAAAATTAGCTTATCAACTCTCCTCAATAGAGTAATAAGTTCTTAAAATCTTGTTCAAATGACAAGTATCAAAAATCAAGTTAACATTGATAAAATCAACTTATCAACTCTCCTCAATAGAGTGATAAGTCCTCAAAATTTTATTCAAATCACAAGTACCAAAAATCATCAACTTAACATTACACCTCTGATGATAAAATCAACTTATCAATTCTCCTTAATAGAGTGATAAGTCCGTAAAAATCTTGTTCAAATCACAAGTACAACAATCATCAAGTTAACATTACACATCTGATAATAAAATTAACTTATCAACTCTCCTCAATAGGGTGATAAATTCACAAAAATATTGTTTAAATCACAAGTACTAAAATATCATCAAGTTAACATTACACCTCTGATGATAAAATTAGCTTATTTATCTTTTTTAATAGGATGATAAGTTCACAAATTACTGCTATGTTAACACCACACCACACCTTTAACAGTTAAACCACTATGAACTTGTTAATTCTTTTCAACGGAATAACAAGTGTTCATTGTCAAATCGCGAGGGTTCATCCCCGCGTTCCAAATTCCAAACGCGAGGGTCACCCCCGCGTTCCAACATCAAAACGCGAGGGTCACCCCCGCATTCTAATATCAAAACGCAAAGGTCACCTCTGCGTTTCAAAAACAAAACGTGTGGGTCACCTACGCGTTTCAAAAGCAAAACGCATGGTTCGCACCCCCGCGTTCCAAAGATCAGACGCAACTCTCGCATTTGCAAAAACAGAACCTGAGTCTTGCGTGTCAAATTTTTGCAACCAAATTCATGGTGCCTTCGAGACGGATGCAGTGAGCAACTCCTTTATGATAACGAATCAACAGTACACTGTTCTAAGATCAAAATCGAGATCCAAAGTATTTCGAAAATTTGTTCCAGACAACCACGAACTTTCAAAAACTTTAGAGGGGGTTCTGTAGGCTGTCTAAAAATTATTGCAGATAGCTGATCCTCACAAAGCACTGATGATGAAAGTTACAATCTTATGACTTTCACAATAGACGAATGTTACAATCTGATGACTTTCGCAACAACCGATGAAAGTTCCAACCTGATGACTTTCACAATAGCATACGGGAGTTACAAATTGATGTCTCACACATTTCAAAGAGTCAAATGTAAGGATTACAAGATGACGATCCTTGCAACACTCGAAAAAATAGATTACAATTGACAATCTCTTCAATGCTAAACGCGAAGTTCCACCCTCGCGTTCTGAATTCCAAATGTGAGACTCACATCTGCGTTCCAAATTTCAAACGTGGGGCTCACCTCCGCGTTTCATAGGCTAAACGCAAGGGTCGCTCCAGAACGCGAAACTCGCATTTGACTGGTTCAAACATGTTTTGAACGGTTCTAAAACTGTTTTGCATGTAATGGGGACATTAAACACCCATTATGGAGCGATTTAAAGGGTCAGTTACACCCCTTAAACCCTATAAATAGTTTGGTTTACAGCTGAAATATGGTTAACTTGGTTGGATCTTTGGATCATAAGGCTTTTGTAAAGTTTTGTTGGAGCTTTGGAGCAATTTGCTTTGACTTTTGAACCATTTTCAATTGAAGAACTCTAAGATTGACTGTTTAGCTTATTTCAATAAAAAAAGATTAGATATCCTTTCTGAAATTAACTCTTTCACAGAGTTCTTAAACTCGTTTAGAGTTCTAAACTTTCTTTGCAAGTTCTTCCTGACATTAAGTCAAGAGGAGACGACAAAGTTCCACGAAGTGAGGCGTTCGGATCGTCAACAGAATACAAAATTCAAACTCCCATAGTTACTAAGAAGAACCCAGTTCTAAATAAATGGAATGATCTTCGTTAATTCCTTCTCTCTTTTGTAAATCGGGAAACCGATAAGAAAAATTATAATTTCTTTTTTTAAGTCAATTAGAGAGAGATTGCAAAGAGAGATTCTATTTATTCTTTTATTAAGCCAGTTAAAGAGAATTAATAACATTTATTCTCACTTTTCTTTAATTTTTCCCACAAACAATACGCTAAAGTCTACTTCTTCTTAAATTCCGAAAAGAATTAAGACTTGGTTCTTCACCTTTATGTAGAATATATGGTATTTTTCAACTAAAGTATAATCTTTAATGTAAAAATTGAAAGAGGAGACATCTCAAACATGGAATGTAAATAAAGAAATGTAGGATATGTGTTTAAGATCTATAAAACAAGTATTCTAAATGGAAACATGTATCATATGATCAAGGATCTTTTTAAGTAATTACAAGACATCCATGCTAAGCAAATTAAATCTATGCATATATCTTCAAGTAATTACAAACATTAAAGATTATTTGATTTGTTTTAAGGGAAGTGGCTTTTTGGATGATGCGATTATTGGGGTTCCGTTATTTCATTTATTTCTTTGTTTATTTAGCTTTGCTTTTCAACAACCCCCTTATTTAACTTGCAATTATACTAAAAAATTATTAGTATTAATATTTAAAAACACCTAAAATAACTTTATAATTTAATGTAACTAATCAAATAGTTTGGACAAATATTGTAATAATTTATAATCGGTACTTTTATCAATTGAAAATAAGGATTGTTACAGAATTATAGTTAAATCCAATATTATGTTTAATAATATGTTCGATGATATACATTTTCCTTTTCAATTTTATAATCGGTACATTTTTCCTTTTCATAGTCTATGAACCAATTTTCAATTTTTGATGCATTTATATCTTATATTCCTTATATTTAGATGTAGCATTTATATCCAAAACGTTGGTAATACTGGAACCATGATTCATACTGTTATCAGCAACTGCTAGATTGGCCTCCTACTGTTAGTTGTATGCTCTTGTTCTTGAGCAAACAGATTAAATTGCTGTATTCTTGAACAAACAGATTGGAAAAACATAATCAATTCTTCTCATTCTGTTCTCATAATCCGATTCTAAGTACTTTTAGCTGTAGCATTGTGTATGATCTCCTGGGAATGTGCCTCCGTGCACGAGCATGTGCCTCTTTTACCCCTGTCCTTTTCCAAAACCCTGCAGTCTCCTTGTACTCATCTCGGCAAGTACAATTATTTTTTGTCCTTGTAAGTAGTGAGAACTGTTATTAGAGAGGGTATATAATACAGGTCAGTGTGTTTATGAGTAGCCACAAGCTGTATGGAATCAAACATCTTTACTTAGGATATCTATGTAACACCCAGTTTAAAAAGAATTATATTGCTCTTATATCACACTTGAACTTGTGCCTGATAGCAACGTCCCCTGATAGCATTCATACTCTGTTTGCAGGTACTTGAAGGCGGCGGGATTGGATAAACAAAAAAGAAAGAGAAAGAGAGAGGGGTGCCCTTCATGGAGCAGTCTTAATTTAGTTATCATGAGCTAAAACTCTTTAGCTAGTTATTTTTCGGTAGTTATTTTTAGCTATGAAAGTAGAATAAACGTGTTGGTAGTTTTGGCTGCCTGCCAGCGTTGGGAGTTTGGTAAGCCGTAAGCTGTATGATGTTCCTGCATCAATTATTAGTTGATTCCTTACAGTTACTGTACAGTTTTCATCTATTTAACGTTGAAGGAACTAGTGGCTTTTAATATTTTTAATGAATATCTAGACTTCCCTACAACTTTCGTCGTGCATGGATTTTGCAATTTCGTTACTGAGCACAATTCATCAAAATAAGAATAGTTGGTAAGTTCATTAGCGTGCGATGAACGCATATCGTTTTCCCCCATTTACTGTCTATGCAATCAAATACGATCTGGAATTGTGAGCTTCCCTCCTATCGTGAACTTGAGTTTTGGAAATTTACCGCAAAAAAGAGTTCCATGTCCGCTAAATTTTAGCCGTGGACCTTTTTGGTCGGAGTTATCAATGCTTTACTGAACATTCCATTAATGTTACGTTTCTTCCAAATAGGTGTTACAATTTATATGGATACTTTTATTGTTTCTGGGGTGAGGAACCGCTTGCTGGCGTGAAAATATTTGAATACCAGGACACGTAATTCTTCTTACCAAAGGCATAAAACTTGCCTCTTCATTCTTCATGCATTTTTAGATACCTTTTACCCCCGTATACAAATACAAACAGAGTTGTGTGGTAGGTGTCGCTGCAGCCTCTTCACCCTCTTTGTAATTTTCCCTTCCAAGCAAAATAGAATATCCAAAGAGAAGTTTAAACTCATGGAAGCTGAAAATACCCTCCAAATATTTCCCACATAAAAAGAGTTCCTTGAAAGAGACAGAATTAAATCAAAAGGCTGAAACTAGCATACAACCAAAATGTCATAAAAATAATGATTCTTCCATTAGCAAGACTTTTGTCAATACAGTGAGTATTCAGCTGCTGCTTTTGTACAAAAAAGAGCAAACCTCAGGCTCAAGGCCTATTCGCTGCTATATTCTCTCTCTCTCTCTATATATATATATATAAAATATTCATTGTTAACAACCACCTCCCGATAGACTTGTTTACCTTCAAGAACCTAATAGACGTTGAGGTTTTCCTAACTTGAACTTCCCTAAATGGTCAATAATCTACTGTCGAAAACACAAAACTGATAACCAACGTCTCAACTGAACGCGATCCCCTTTGATGTTGAAATCAGGCACTTGGTTTCCAACTTGGAACAAAATGAGGGAGCTGACTTAGTGTAGATTATTATAAAGTTAGTATGCTAAAACATAGGCAATGTGGATAACGTTAGGGACAGCATAACAACCTATAGAGACAAATCTTGTCCTAATCCTGGAAGTATATGGAAATTTGGGAAGTAGAAGGCTTGGTGGTGGGGACTGCATGTTCACCAGATTGAGGTTGACAATGCCTAGAAAAATATCAGTTGGACTGCAAGACATAATTAATTAATTAATTAATTAATTGAACACAACAATAAAAACTAACAGTAACCCTGATATCAGTCGTAAGTTTATACTACGGTTACAACAACAATGACATTCTACGGTAAAATTTGGAGGGTGGCCAGATAACTTACTGTTCTCTATTCAGCTGTCTTAGGACCACGTCCTCTTGCGATTAAGACTAAGCAACTTTCTCTTGCATTCAATCATATGATAGACTAATTACCATTTAATATTAGGATTTCATATATCAAGATGTTATATCCCCAAATAATAAAACAGACTAAATTAGGTACTTTTCCATTTGTATGAATAGTGCCTAGATGAGCCAGCCTTGAGGGTTCAGTAGTACCAAACAAAGGACTAAAATTTCAACATCAAAATGCAATTCACATTGTTAATGGGTATCTTTATCTTGACTTGATATCAAACAAATAAGCATAAGATTCATGCTATTTATGTTTTTTTTTAAAATGTCCTTTGTACCAGGATTAGCCACCAAGTAAATCCCCTTTCTAATCCACACGGACGCTGAGAGAAGAAGTCATATCTGTGACTTCCCTTATAAACAACTCCATCTGAGACCACCCAACTTCCCTGATCACATGCAAGTACATAGATTTTTTAAGTTATGTGCAAAACCTAATAGATGCTCTGAAAGGAAAACAAAGTACAAAAAAAAAAAAAAAAGAGAGAGGGCGAAAGAAATACCAACCAGCTAATACTTGCATATGAGAAAACTCACCTTGTGATGCTCCAGTACTGCATTGCCTTGCTCCTGCAGAAAAAACATCCTCCATTGCCCATATCAAGATATTTCAAATTAAAACCCACTCGATGGAGAAGCTGTTTATACCCTTACCAAGCAACAACGATATGCTGATCCTACATGAAAGTAGAACAAATTAACAAGCTATTAACTCGTGACCTAAGCAGGTGAGACGGCAATTCTCCATTATATGCAAAATAATATTTGCAAACAACCAGAAAAATAATCACTTGCAGATATGAGAATCAATCAACTCGAGAGGAAGTACAACAAATTTTGAAATGAATATTTCATCTTCCTATCCGATAACGAGAATCTTACAATATAATGGAACTGGTTTCCTGCCCATTTCACTATATGCTTTACAAACAGCAATAGATGGAAACGGTGTTTTGCCTGTCACAGGGAAGGATACATATCTCTAAGCTACACGAACCGAAAAAGATACACAACACAAGGAATAGGCCAAGAATAAATATATCCAACACCTTAGCAGGAAACTCATGAAGAAGGATTTCAAAGAAATAAACAAAAGATCAGATCTTCCATCCCTTTCACAAGGTCCCTGCATCTAGCAATCAGGCCATTGAGGCGAGTGACGTAGTATGAGAACCAATTTCAACTTCTATAATTCCACAGATTCCTCAACAGCAGATAGTCTATCACCTTCAACAAAAGCCGGATCAAGAAATCTCGCTACAAAAGCCCACATTCTGTAAACATCTTCAAAGTTTGTGAGGAATGCAAGAGACGCCGTGACAACTTCCACTCTGATTACAGTATTCTTATTCTTACCATCATATTTCCCATTTGAGACAGGACGGCAAAATGAAGTACCACCCAAATCAACTGTCCCATGTTTCTGATTTTCTAAAAGCCGTATATGACTAAGAAAACCAATACCTAAAGAGATTCCATGCTTCTCAGCAAGCTTCTGTACAATTTCAGGGTTGATTAAAGATCCATTGCCATCTTTCACATTGAATGCTACTGCTGCACCCCTCTCATACTTGATCTTTGGGCCATAAATATTCACAAGAGGAACCCCATTTCCTCCCCCATCTGAGTCTGGTAGCCTCAACTGAAGTAAAGAAGTCACCAACCAATTTATCAGATATCGAAGTCTAAAGGTGGTTTTGTTGAGACCCAACATGTTCACATGATCGAGATGTCTACAAACAATTTCCGGTTCTCTTCTTCCCCAATCCTCATCATCACCATCACTACCATCATCCTCATCATCATCGGCTTGGTTTGGTCCAGAGACTTCCCCAATTTCCGAATTATGGCTACCCAATCTTTCAATAGGTTTAGCTTCATCCACACTGAAGGAAACTCTTCGACCCATGCTTAATACCCGCTCATTATCTTCGGTGAAGAATCTCCCACCAGCAAACCGGCCATTTCCTTCTCTCCTTCCTAATAATCTAAATTCCCCTTCGGTTTCCCTTCTGATCGCACTTTCTTTTGTCTCCGAACAAATTTCAGATGCTGGGCCATTCAAAATAGAGGCTGAGCTCTGAGCTATTGTTCCATTGCTGGAAGAGAATTTCACAGTATGTGACCTTGTCTCAGGCTCTTCTTGAATTTCACTGTTGTGATGTAAAATTTGCTCTTCTTCTGGATCCTCTTTTACCCTGTCCAATTCTTGCGAAACCGATAAAACAGCAGCATCAAAGGACACAACATGATCGTCGTATATAGGACTCCTTGACATTTTAGTTGCCAATTTCGGAGACACTCTCTTCTGATTCTTTCTCCCAGTGAACCAAGATGGCGGCAACGGAGAGCCCAACTTCCCACCTCTACTCAACTGGCCTGAATGATCCGAACCATACGGGCTCTGACCCAAATCAATCCAAAAAGAGTTATCAGAGGACTCATCTTCACTAAAGACTGGACTCTTCATGACCTCGCCCATAGAAACACTCTCTGTTTCCTCAAAAATTGTACTTGCCCCATCTCTATCGGAGCTATTATCATGATCCATTTCAGTCTCGAACACATCTTGAACTTGAGCTGAAGTGAATGCGCCCGAGAAAGCTGGCATTTGAAATCCTTTGCTGGTACCGGGCATCAAAGATTCATCATTTCCATTGATCATCTCATCCTCAATCCCATCTAATCCATCCAAGCCGTCAATTGAATCACTCAAATATTGAGGAAACACTGGAACAATCCTCACCATTCCCGATCCGGTTCCACCATTAGGGTTTTGTAAGCTAGCCATCACCGATTTCTTGATAAGGAGGCAACCGAAACCAGTTGGGTCAGACCCAAATACCCGATAGAACGAAGTTATAATGAAATCGGGTCTGAAAAGAGATAGCCCAAGCGAATCCATGTCCTTAGGACCTAAAGAACCGGCATCAAGCAACACATGCCAATTGTTCTGCTGAGCCAAAGCCATCCACTGATAGGAATACTTTGCCCCTGTAACCCTCGATTGCACCGGGAAAACAAACAAACCAACAGCCGAATCCTTCTTCCTCCTCTTCTTTGTTGAGATTTGCTTCCTGAGCTCACTCGAGCAGAGCTTCAAAGTTGGCCACCTGAACCAAGCACTGTAGGTTTTTGCCCCCTTCTCCTTTGCACTCTGAGCCATCCAATTCACCGACTGGCTTTCATGATCAAACATCGTCAACAACTTCTTGTTCGTATGAAATGGGTAAGATTCAGCGAGAAGCTTAAACGCCGAACCTCTACTAACAGTGAAAACCAATCCATACTCATTCTCGGGTATATTCAAGTAATTCATAATTCTCGCCTTAATATCGTGCTCAGCAGTGCCATTCTCAGCACCGCCATACAATGCATGGTTACTCAAATTACCAGTTATCTCAGATAAACTAAAAGCGGAAGACTCCCATTGCTGGAAACTTTGCAAATATGAAAACAATCCAAACCCACAATAATCAAGGCAAACTTTACCTCCCGACTCATCGAGGTTCGAATACTCATCAGACCTCAGTCTATCAATCTTCTCCGAGCTCTGGTACTTCGGATACATTGTCAAAAACTTCGAGAGCGATTCCTCAAGTTCAGGGATCGAGTCAGGGTTCACGAAAGTTCGATCAGCAGCGAGAGCAGTCGATCGCAAGAACTCCTTTTGGGCATGGAGGCGAGCAAGGGATCTCGATCGGCCAACTGCAGCGGAGTTAGGGTTTGAGAGGGGATCATCGCCGGCGGTCGACGGGTCATCGATGCTTTGAGATTTGAAGAGAGACCCATCTTCAGAAGCTTCTTCTAGGGCTTCACGAAGCTTGGACTCTTGAAGCTGACGAAGGATGGAGGGTTTCTTCTTGCTGCTGCGTATGTTTTCGTCGGAGATTTCTCCGTCACCGGAATCTTTATGCCGGCGGCTCTTCTTGTCGAGGATCAGTGAAGCGCAGTGGGAAATGGGTTTCCATAGGGATAGATGCATTTAGTGTTAGTAATTTTTGAAGAAGATCATAGAAATTTTGGAATATGGGGATTTTGGGGGGTCGGAACCTGAAACCCTAACTTTATTTCAACAAAATTTGGGGGGCAAAAGGGAAAGAAAGAGAGCAAACAATCATTCAAACCCTAAAAATGAGAGATTCCCATGAAAAGAAAAGTGAAAAAGGAAGAGACCTTCACTTTAAAAAAATATATATTAAAAAGGGATCAAACTGCCAAGAGGAAACCCTAATTGAATTTGAGGAGAGGCAAAGACGAGAGATCTCTCTCCCTTCTTAACAAAACCCAGATCCCAAAATCTCCTCTTTCTCTCTCCTCCTCTCGTTGTTGCTCAGTTCGCAAGCTTTTGTTACTCTCTCTCTCTCTCTCAAAAAAAAAAAAAAATCTCTCTTTTTGATCTCACAGTCACAAGCAGAAGCAACAGCAGAATTAAAAGCAGGACTGCTGCAATTAGCTCAGCGCCATTACTGCACTGGTCAATCCATACATGGTCGCATTAATTGCTTTTCTCCTTCCACCATTATCACCCTCTCACCTCTAAAGCCCACCCACTTCCTCAACTCTCATAACTAAAAGTAAAAGTATAAAATAATGGTAGAAAAGGTAACAAAAAATAAAAAAATAAAAAATAAAAGTAATGGAATATAAATTTTTACAAATGTTGTTTTGGGAGTGAGGAATAAAGATATGGACTTTGACTTTTCAAGATTGTTCTGTGCATTTTTGCGGTTCAATTTGAAGGTGACACATGTGTCTTGAAAATTAAAAGGTACAAATTGTAACTATAATATTAAAAACTATAATTTAACAATAATTCTAAGAGACTATAAACTAAAAATTCTAATTATGCCTGTAGCTGTAGTTATTTTATTTTTTTCTGTATAAATGTTATTAGAACCCTCTCTATACGAGTTAGGCCTTTTAAACCAAATTATCCTTTCCGTTCTCCTCGTGGATGGCTTAGAACAACCTGCTCTTATAGTGGTTTAATAAACTTTAGACTTTTGATTCTTTGTTAAGTGTAATTTTGTACAATTTTAGTTCTAAGAATGATCATATTTACAAAATGAACTATTATCAAATTGATTTCAAGTAGTTCTAAAATATGCATTATTTTATAGTTGTAATCATAAAACTGTTATAGTTTAAACAAACAATGGGAATTATAAATGTAGTTATTTTCTAGAAGTTACAACAATAACTACAATTGTGTGTGTGTATGTACAAACCCACAATTAGGATAGCAATCAAGGGTGCATACAGTACGGATACGGCTCGAATATGATACTTCTTGTATCAATATTCGTTTGTCAATCACCAATATAGATATGGATATAAATATGCCTAGGAAAATTCATACCCGTATTCACTAAAATCATATTTGAAAAGCTAAGATTGGATCTCTTGATCATCAAAATTAGTCTCAAATTCATTAATCTAATGATTGAAACTATTGCAGCTGTATGATCAACATATATTCAAATATTTTGGATATGGATTTAGATATTTTACTAAGTAGCCATATCCATAATCATATCCTATTAGTTATAGATTTGACTAACCATATCGATACACTTATTTAATCAAAGTCACTCATTGTCCAGTATATGATTATAATTATTTTTGGAAAAAAAGGCAAATGTAAATCAAGAGGAATACGTAAATACATGGAGAGTATCCTTATTTTACGAAGTGAAGGCCTTTGAACTATTAGGGAGGGTGCAATCTGTAAAAGTTGGTGGTCCATGGCTAAACTTTTTTGTGACTGACGAAATAAAGTCAATTCACCAGGAAGGGTTATAAAGCTTTCTCCTGTCGTCAATTAGGTGATTGTCATTTTTGGCATTCTCATGGCAACCATCTTTTTTATTCACTGTGCTCTTTTGCAAGAACTTTGGTCTTAAGAAAAAGAACAGGAAAAATAAAAAGAAACATTCATATTAGGTTCATATTAGTTCAAATTCTGATGTCGTGCCAAAAATTCTGATAAGTTCAAATTCTGAATTTGAGTTTGACTTGCTCTGAAGTCGTGCCTGTTGGGAATTTACGCCGAAACCCCTAAGATAGCAGAAACGCAGAATAGAAGAAATACACCAAGTTTTAATAATGTTCGGTAACTGCCTACGTCCTCGGGAGCCACATAATAAATTTCTTATTAATCTAACAAGAAATTACAATTTACGAGCGAATCTCAAACTTGAGATTCCTCAATAAATACAATCTTCACTGTAGCTATAGTAAAGATTCCCCTCTTCTTTAATACTCCTCTTAATTTCCTCTACAATAAATTCCTCCTTTAAATTCCTTTCCCAATCACGTCAGAATAGGAGAACTGAGAGAAAGAGAGATACCTCGAATCCCGCCGCTCGCCTCAAACTCGCCTGCAAGACGTCGCCTGCAACTCGCGTGCTCGAGAGTTCCGCCTACAGCTGTCGTCGAACTCGCCTAAAGAAGCTCGCTGCAATGGGGGAACTCGAGCTCGCCAATAGATTTCGCCAGCCCCCAACTTCGCCCGTGTCGACTGGTGCCCTAAGCCTCGTGCGAGCTCGCCTGCAACTCACATCTGCCCTAACCTCGCCTGTAAGGTTTGGTCGACACCATCAATTCTAACAATCTCCACTTGGAGGCCAAACCACTGTCAACAGGCTATCTCAACAAGCTCCTCCTCCTGTGTGGCTCCGCCCTCATCATCTATGCATGAAGGCCAACTGAAGCTGCACACAACTCTAGTTTTTGAACGGTAACTGTTTTTGTTAACATGTCTGCTGGATTATTACTTCCTGAAATCTTTTCCAGTTTTAACACGTCATCTTCCAACAAGGATCTGATGAAGTGGTACCGAAGCCTAATATGCTTTTCGTTCTAGAATGAAATGCAGAATTCTTAGCCAAGTGAATCGCACTCTGGCTGTCGCTGTACAGAACATTCTTCTCATGTTTGAATCCCAGCTCTGTTAACAAACCCTAAAGCCATACCATCTCTTTACTGGCTTCAGTCACTGCAACATACTCAGCTTCTGTAGTGGATAAAGTGATAATCTTCTGTATCTGTGACATCCAACTAACAGCTATAGTTTCGACAGTGAATACATAGCCGGTGGTGCTTCTTCGGTGATTGACTTCGCCGCCGAAGTCTGCATCTACGTACCCTTTGTACTTCTACCTCTCCCTTACCAAAGTGTAAACACTTCTGTGTGGTGCCTCGTAGATACCTCAGAATTCACTTGACTGCTTCCCAATGAGCTTTTCCTGGATTCGATATAAACCGGCTGACCACTCCCACTGCATGGCTAATGTCTTATCTCGTACAGACCATTGCGTACATCAAACTTCCGATAGCTGAGGCGTAAGGGACCTGAGCCATACTCTCTTTCTCTTCTTCTGACTGAGGAGACTGATCTTTTGATAGGCGAAAATGGCTGGCCAAGGGTGTGCTCACTGGCTTAGCGTCGTCCATGTTGAATCTCTGCAAAACACGGTTGATGTACTTCGCCTGAGATAACTGCAAGAGACCTCTCTTCTTATCTCTCGTGATTTGCATTCTAATGATCTTCTTCGCTGGACCAAAGTTCTTCATGTCAAACTTCTTTGACAGCTGCTGCTTCAAACTCCTGATATCCTTTATATCTGTTTCTGCAACTAACATATCATCAACATACAACAA